ACTGTATAAATCATAATATAGCTTTTAATGTTTATGTCTTTTAATTAATGTATACAATATTAATATAACCTCTAGAGTAGTCAGGCCAGCGATTGGGCCAAAATTTGACCTTGAGATGATTTAGGTGTAGATAGAGTACTCTCAGCTGATCAACCGGATGTAACCTAACCACAGCTGATTAGCTGCAGTAGGTGTTTATATTAAATAAATTATTAAATTATGGATAAAAAGTGTTGGCTTGACCGAGGATCGAACTCGGTTCTTTTAATTGGTTGTCGGGATCGTTACCATTCAGCTACAACAGTAGTTATGGGTATAAGTTTTTTTAGCCGTAAATGATATTTTATACATATATAGGGTGTGTATTGGAGGTTTGATTTTAATATGGTTTAGAGGTTTAATTTTAACCAATTATTTAGAGGTTCATGGGTTCAATCTTAACCTATCATTTGGAGGTCTATGGGTTCAATCCTAACGCTGGATGTAATCTAACCACAGCTGTTTATTTCAGCTGATTAGCTGATCACGTGATGTCACCTGGTCTAGAGGTTCACGGGTTTAATCCTAACATATTATTGGAGGTTCACGGGTTCGACTCTAATCTAACAAAAAAACATGTCATTTCTGGTTATCGGGTTTAATCCTAATATAGTCAAGGGTCTATGGGTTTGATCCTAACCTATCACTTCTGGTAAGGTTCATGGGTTCAACTCTACCTAATGAGAAAACATGTTATTAGAGGTTCATGGGTTCAATTCTAACCTATCATTTGTAGGTCTATGGGTTTGAATCTAACCTATGTTAGAGGTTCACGGGTTCAACTCTAACCAACCACAAAACATGTTATTTCTGGTTATCGGGTTTAATCCTATCCCAGTAGGATTTGTAAAAAAAAACACTTAATTTTATATAGTGTATAATGCTTAAGCGGAACTTTACCGTTGATCATAAAAGACTATTATACTAAATGTGTAGTAGCATTGGAGGATGGCATGCTGTAGTGTATAATTAATATAAAACAGCTGAAAGAAGGCTTAACTTTACCATTAAAGATCACTAAATATTATATGTTAAATGAGTTACTTAAGGTTGGGTTGTTTTTTTTGTATTGGAGGTTCATGGTTTAATCCTTTTAAATAAAAACATTTTATTTTATTTTATATTATATTACATATATATGCTATAGTCTATAATAAATGTGAAACAAATGTTAATTCATTTATCCAGTGCTAAAAACAGCTGAAAGAGGGCTTAAGTGGAACTTTACCATAAAGTATAAAAAATGGCCTTTGTAAAGGCCACCAAATGTTGGATGAAAAGTTTATATTTCATAGATGTTATGTACTCTTGGGATGATGGGAGGTTTGAATTTATGTTTCTTTTTAATGGTTGGTTGTGTATGAAGCTGTGGATGAGTCAGAGGTTCATGGGTTCGATCCTTACTAATCACCAAACTTGTCATTTCCGGTTGGGGTGTTTTCTTTTGTTGGTATGGTGCTGTATTATAGTTAACCGCTTGTATATGAACTTATGGCCCTAGAGGTTCACAGGTTCATTCCTTACCAATCACCAAACGTTTTATTTTTGGTTTGGGTGTTTTTTGTATGGTGTTGTGTTGTAGTGGGAGTAGTGTGAGTTCTTGATTCTAGAGGTTTGAGGGTATAATTCTTACCAATCACTGACTGTTGTGTTAGAGTAATATTTTCAGTTTTAGAATTTTGTTGTTCTGTAGTTAAATGTGTGACTATAAAACCCTGAGGTTATAGGTTTGAATCCTAACAGCTGCTAATGGTTTTATATTTGTCACTCTGAGTTTTAGTATGTGGGAGTAGTTAACTGTTTGAATGTGATCCCAGGTGTTTGCGGGTTTGAAACTGTTGAGCATTAAATTTGCTGGTTGGGGTTAGCGCTGTAGGTTTATGGGTTTAATTTTAACCTGATTGAGCTCAATTCTAACACATTTGAGTTCAATTTTAACCTAATTGAGTTCAATTCTAACACATTTGAGTTTAATTCTAACACGTATGAGTTTAATTCTTACATGTTTGAGTTCAATTATAACCCATTTCAGTTTAATTCTAACACAATTGAGTTCAATTCTAACACGTTTGAGTTTAATTCTAACACATTTGAGCTTAATTCTAACCCAACTGAGTTTAATTCTAACATGTTTGAGTTCAATTCTAACACATTTGAGTTCAATTCTGTTCAACCCAACTGTTTATACCTGGTATTTTCTGTGTAATTTGTTCCGCTAAACTGTGATATAACCTTAACTTTGGACCTTAGTTATGTATACAGTCTAAAACAAGTCTTTTTTTTGGAGTTAACTTAGTGTTGACGAAGTTTTATTTAGTGTTTATTTTTATTGATGTGTTGAATAACAAGAAATAAATCGGGTAGTTTATCAAGTTTATAGTAATGAATGTAACTGATTTCAATGACTTACCTGTATCTTTGGTACTTGAAACCGGTATAGTATTACACATCTACCGCGTTGTATTAAGCTTGTACTATATTGTACCTATTACATTGTACTACACTAGTACTGTACTGTATTACACTTGTATTGTACTGTATTATACTTGTACTATACTGTATTACACTTGTACTGCAATGTATTATACTTGTACTGTTTTAATATGTCATTATTTTTATAGAGATGTATATCTGACAGCTAATACTGATATGTGTTGACTTTATCACCACCGATTGCGGTTTCTGGTGTGAATTTCTATTGACAACTACTTTTTATGGATCAACAAACACATTTATGCAACACCTCAAGTGTTTATTGTATACCTTGTTGCTACCTGCATTAAAACATGTTCTAATCATTGTGTATTGATAGTTTTTGTTTAGCTAACCACATTATATCAAGGTTTTGTTAACTGTTTAAATTTACTGTCTATGTCTTTTTTTGTTGTAACTGTAAACATGTTTTTGTAACTACCTGATGAGTGTTATCTGTGTATTTCTATTTACTATGTTTCTTCATCTTGTCATATCCTAACAATGGAGAGCTTAGAATGTATGCTGACTTAAGTTTCTGATTCTAATGTACTGATAATAGATCTATGTTTAGATTTTTCAGCATACAACCTCTAATGTATCCTTTTTATACTGATGTGTGTATTATTTCTGGTTAATAGTGTATACATATAGTCATTTCTGTATGGTGCTAATGATTATTTTCTATGGATACAGTCTACAGTCCTGATTATATATTGTCAATGTCTAAGCTTAATTGTCTAGATGAATGCTATAGTCAAAGGATAGAGTATAGATGAGAATTAGTTAATATGGTTGTTTAAATTTATAGTAAAAAGGTTATATACCTACCAGGGATTATAGAGGAACAATTTAATTGTACTGCTTATTTTAATGAGTTTGTCTTTTATTGTAATTAGTTTTATAACAATGAAAACTAATAACTTTATTGACAACATAGAACACCTATGATAAGGATAAATAAATATCAGAGGAGAAAAACCAAAAAAGTTGTTGTATACTTAATAACAAAACATGTATTTAAATATACTTTACTTGAAGGAGCAGAGGAGAAGGAGGATGAAAAATAGGAGGGGCAGGAGGAGAAAGAAGAGGATGAGAGGAAGAAGGAAGGAGGAGGAGAGAAGGAGGAGGAGTATGTTACCTAAATATATAATCAAACTATAGCTGTAACCTTTTTAATTTAATTTCAACTGTATGTAACTGTCTAATCTTAAAAGAGCTTAGATGACCCAAATTTCCACACCACGGTAAGCCTTTAGGCTTGGCCGTACGGGTCTTGGCGCGTTTTTGATTTAAGTGAGTTTCCCTGGAGGCCTATTCTCACTATTATGGTAGTAGTTATTCTATAACAGATTTACTATCAACAATATTTTATGTTAACCTGTTTATCTTTAAAATGATATTTCATTCTTGTTGTCTTTATTTTAAAATTTATGAAGCTGATTATAGGGTGTATTGTTTATTTTAGTTTATGATTTATTAGGAATGAAGGAATATTGTTATTAGATTAGGGTCCTGAAGGAAAGGGGTTAGGGTTGGTTGACATGGAGGGTAACACAACATGGTTTTATGGTTTTTTAGGCCAACCCCCAGTCTTTAGACCAAAAGCCTGATGGCAAACATACTCATGGAGGGTAACACAACATGGTTTTATGGTTTTTTAGGCCAACCCCTAGTATGTTGAGTACACACACACACACACACACATTCACACAAGTACAAGGAGTAGCACAGGTTTTTTCCAATCTGAACGCCTCAATGTACAAACACATTCACACAAGTACAAGGAGTAGCACAGGTTCTTTTTAATCTGAACGCCTCAATGTACATACACACATACACACAGGGAATGGACCCATAATCTGTTTATGTATTATTATATATTTATTGTCCTAATTTACTTTAATTTGATATATATTTCAACATTTTAATTGGTAGCTATTGTCTGGAGAAAAAGTTGGAGGAATTTTTTATCTTAATAGAAGGATTATACTCATTTTTAGGTTAAACGAATTAGGGTTTTATGTATCAACAATACCTGCTTGGTATGGAAATGGTTGTCACTTCAATTTTTAAAACACCAGTCATTGATTCTATTTTGGCAAATATACTGTCAAAGTAATTAGAGAATGATGTAGGTGTAAGTGTTGTGATAGGAATAAATGGTATATTACCAGATGTGTCTTTATATGTTAATAACAACCCAATAGAAGAACATGAGGGAAGTATGTCTTCTGTAATTGTTTCTATAATGTACTCTGAAAAAGTTGTAGGCCAGTCCAGCACATCTATTGAATCAGTAAGAAAAAACTGAAACTCTGAAGTTTTAATACCAAACCTCTTGTTTTCAATTATATCTTTTTTAGACAGAAATCTGAGAAATACAGCCATTACAAGTTAGGAGAGCACAAGTGATATGTTTGTTCTCGTTGACTGTTAATGGTAAAGTGATTAAAAACATACCATGACATCCACCTATATAAGGGTTAATGCTTCTGTCTTTTGTACCCATAGGGTAGAGTGTCATGATCTCCTTCGTACTTTCTCTTTGGACCAGTTACCTTAAACTGTTTAACCTCCTCTGTTGTTACAATATCTCTATATTTTGTTCGTCTAATTCTGTGCTCATCAATTTCAATGATTTTAGAAGCTTCGCCTAAAACCATTTCTTTTAGTTTCTCGAAATTCAAGATTTTTGATGTTTTAATATTGAGAGTAAGCCCTTTGATTTTACAAACCGGGATAAATTTCTATTGATTTGTCGACCAGACAAGGTACGCGTATGTTTTAGGCCCACCAGAGACAAGCTCAGTAATGTATGAACCAGGTCCATACTCTACCAATTCATCGGTCATTTCGCCGAGGTAATCTCCTGTAGGCACCCTATACAACCCTTCGCGGTAGTAATATATAATACTATCTGTATCCCAATATAGTACTTGATCTCCTAAGGCATCAAGGTGTTCATACAACTTTAGTCTAGCGTGAGCAGTAGTGAAGGCTGCCATAACTACATTTACAGTTCTTAAAGACTCACTAGCCTCTTCAATATTTTGCCAATTTACTAGCACAACATCTTGGTTAATAGCCTGAAAGTATTTTAACTTACCCTCAGGATTGGTTAACAGTCGAAAGAACTCTTTAGAATCTCGGATGATTGATGTTTTCATCATATTTTCCCTTTGCCCAAATTTACCCCAAAAACTGTTTAGCATCAATTTTGCTACTGATCTTAAGCCCCCATTTTTAACAATATGCTCCTTTGTCATTTCTATACCTTCACGCTCAAGAAATTTTGCAATGTACTGTTTCTTATCCTCATCTGTTTTACACCACCCAGGGTATCCAGATGCCTCCTGTTTTAGTTTTAAAAATTTATCAATAAACTCAGTGAATAGCCCTCCTTTTTCATATGTGGCTACCTCATACTCCCACAGCTCATACATATCCTGTATAATGTAGCCTTTCTCTACAGCCTTCCTAATCTCATCCATTGTCCATGTCCCAACCAATGCTCTATCTTCACTCTCATGAAAACAATCCCCCTGGTACATGTTCTGCATAGAACAAACATCAATTTATCATGAACACGTGTTGGTAAAACTGGATGATACAAGTTGAAAGGAGGTAAGATCTTGCATTTTAACAGTCCATCTACTTCCATACCTCTCTTTCTACATTCCTTATTACCGACATATATAGATGGATGACCTATAGGATATTTACAGTATTTATTTACAAAAGGATATAGTGAACATACATCGACGTATTGTATGGTTTCTCCCGGACCACATTTGTAGTAGGTTTTCGCGTTTCCTGTCCTACCTCCAAAGAATGCGTCTCTAGGATTTAATGGAAGTGTACTTAAAATTGGCAATTTGTCTAGATGGTTAAGTTTTTGATCCTTTTTCATCTTATGGAATTCACATTCCCACATCTGTACCACATCTCCGAGCTTTTCAATTTTAGCTTTGGTTCTCTCGTAACGGAGATGAAGTGAATCAGAAGGGTCCTCTTTTAATGGGGTATCACGATTATAGGGGAAGCATTTAGGGCACCCGTGCCAGTAACATCCATGGAACTCGTATATGTTTATACCATCGAAACCGTCTACTTTCATTCCCTTTATAACAACCTCTTTACTACGTCCAGCATGATTAATTGTCACCCCACGTCTTTCCTCTTCCCAGGTAAGCCACTGTAGTGCAACAGCTGATTGGGTAGAAGACCGGTAACCATTTTTAGGGATTAGACCAATTGTATTTGGTTTTAGAAAGTTACGGCGAAAGGCTAGATTGCAAGCGCTAGCAATTGTTACTGACTCAAGAAATGGATCAACATTACATTGTTCAAGTAGTAAAGATCTAAATTTGATACACGCTTGAGCTAAAATGTCAACGTCTGACATACAATATTCTAATAATTCCTTTTTAAAATTAAATTCATACTTGTTTGCAATCTGCTCACTATACCATTTGTCAAAGTCGTTGTGGGATTTCTCAAACATGGATTCTGGGCAATAGTACTTTTTATCAGGCATAGGGCCTACATAGTTTTGATTTGCCACTGTATTGAACAAATGTGGGAAGTAACCTTTCTTCTTTTCAGGTGGTAAGTCAAAAGCTTTCGGTAAGGCAGATAAGGACATGGGGAAGTAGCTAAGTGAGTCAATAAATCTAACGTTAGCCACCTCCATCAAAATAATTTTAGTTCCTCTTGGGATGATGTTTGGTGTGAATTTTGTTTCTTCGAGGATATACCTAAGTATAAACTGAAAGTCAAACCCTTGTCCGTTGTGTGCAATTACACAGACGTTTTTAAACTGTTTCCTCACTGACATGACATAGTTCATGAACTGTCTAACAGGATTGCTATCAAATATTTTATAACGTTCCGAACAAGATTCACATTCACCCCCATTGATGCATTTGAAACAAAACTGTTGAGAAACACATAAATTCACTTTATGTAACTTAGTCTCGGGATCTGAGGGTAGGGACTCATCTTGGCGTGTTTCCAGATCAAAGAAAATAAATAGGTAGTCACGGTCTTTTGGGCTTTTTTTGTCTAACTGAATGTAGCATTTTCATAAATGCTAATCATTTAGGATCTTTAAATGTACCAACTGGTAACAAACTAAAATAATAAAATCAAACAATGGTGGTGTTGTCACCATTATTACCACTAGAGTCGCTAGTTTGAGTGGCGTTGTAGTTTGATGTTTTGCCACTGGAGGCAGCACCGTCGCTTACAGTACCGTATATATATAGCGTGAATAAACCAGCTACTTTAGACTATCATCTGTCTTTGCGGGGGTTAGACGTGTTTTGAGCTCTTAACTTATCCTTAGACATTTGTATTATGGAGTCCTGTGACGGAGTTTGCCAAAAAGGTTCTCATAAATTTTCCGGCCCCATTACTTTTATCGACGAAAACAGAACATTTGTGCCAAAGTTTAGGCTTTATGGGTGGAAAACTACCTTTAAATTTACTGAACCTCCGGAAGGTGTATCTGAATTAGAGTGGATACGCAAGGGCCTTGAGCAAATAGTAGAACAATCTAAACACGATTGTTCACCAACTGACTACTTAGGGTTTACTCTTACCTCTATTAATTTGAAATCTAAAGAACCTGGGTATGTTGTTCCACAACTAGCCTCCGAGGTTACAGCTGATTCATTATGGGCTATTTTTGGAGGTATCATTCAAAGTAACTCAGAATCAATTACTAGTAGTGATACGTTTACAGTAGGTGTTTCTAGAGTTAATGTTCCTGTAGGCAAGGGTAGAGTGCGTCCGGGAATGTATAATTCATTTAATGAAGAATGTAAAGCAAGAAAGGGGATAGTAGTTATAAATAACACTGACAACTTATGTCTAGCTAGAGCAATAGTAGTAGGTAAAGCATATGTAAAAATGGATCCTCAGATTGTTGGAATTCGTAAAGACGAGTGCTTGCGTCAGACAATTAGGGCTAAGAAACTTATAGCTAAAGCAAGAGTTGAAATGCCTGAAGAGGGAGCAGGTATCCCTGAACTTGAAAAGTTCCAGGCACACTTAAAGAAATATAAAATAACTGTGTATAATTACGATAGCAAAGGCCGGAATGTATATTTCTCTGGCGGTAATAGTGAAGCAAAGTTTAAAATCAACTTATTGTACCATGATAACCATTATAATGTAATTACAAACTTAACAGCCGCTTTTGCCTGCAGTTACTTTTGTGACGCATGTCACATACCCTATGATCATAAAGGTGAGCACCGCTGCTCGAACATCTGTCCATCTTGTCACACCTTCTCACCTCCTTGTGTAGAGGAAGATGGCGGTATATCTTGCCGCTATTGTAACAGATTTTTCAAAAATGAACGGTGTTTTATTACCCACCAAAGACAAATTTGTAAAACAATTAAGTTCTGCCGAGGGTGTGAAAAAATGATATTCCCAACTAAACGTAAATCGGCTCATGTGTGTGGAGAGGTATATTGTCACCCTTGTGGTACATTTAAAGATCCTAAATGATTAGCATTTATGAAAATGCTACATTCAGTTAGACAAAAAAAGCCCAAAAGACCGTGACTACCTATTTATTTTCTTTGATCTGGAAACACGCCAAGATGAGTCCCTACCCTCAGATCCCGAGACTAAGTTACATAAAGTGAATTTATGTGTTTCTCAACAGTTTTGTTTCAAATGCATCAATGGGGGTGAATGTGAATCTTGTTCGGAACGTTATAAAATATTTGATAGCAATCCTGTTAGACAGTTCATGAACTATGTCATGTCAGTGAGGAAACAGTTTAAAAACGTCTGTGTAATTGCACACAACGGACAAGGGTTTGACTTTCAGTTTATACTTAGGTATATCCTCGAAGAAACAAAATTCACACCAAACATCATCCCAAGAGGAACTAAAATTATTTTGATGGAGGTGGCTAACGTTAGATTTATTGACTCACTTAGCTACTTCCCCATGTCCTTATCTGCCTTACCGAAAGCTTTTGACTTACCACCTGAAAAGAAGAAAGGTTACTTCCCACATTTGTTCAATACAGTGGCAAATCAAAACTATGTAGGCCCTATGCCTGATAAAAAGTACTATTGCCCAGAATCCATGTTTGAGAAATCCCACAACGACTTTGACAAATGGTATAGTGAGCAGATTGCAAACAAGTATGAATTTAATTTTAAAAAGGAATTATTAGAATATTGTATGTCAGACGTTGACATTTTAGCTCAAGCGTGTATCAAATTTAGATCGTTACTACTTGAACAATGTAATGTTGATCCATTTCTTGAGTCAGTAACAATTGCTAGCGCTTGCAATCTAGCCTTTCGCCGTAACTTTCTAAAACCAAATACAATTGGTCTAATCCCTAAAAATGGTTACCGGTCTTCTACCCAATCAGCTGTTGCACTACAGTGGCTTACCTGGGAAGAGGAAAGACGTGGGGTGACAATTAATCATGCTGGACGTAGTAAAGAGGTTGTTATAAAGGGAATGAAAGTAGACGGTTTCGATGGTATAAACATATACGAGTTCCATGGATGTTACTGGCACGGGTGCCCTAAATGCTTCCCCTATAATCGTGATACCCCATTAAAAGAGGACCCTTCTGATTCACTTCATCTCCGTTACGAGAGAACCAAAGCTAAAATTGAAAAGCTCGGAGATGTGGTACAGATGTGGGAATGTGAATTCCATAAGATGAAAAAGGATCAAAAACTTAACCATCTAGACAAATTGCCAATTTTAAGTACACTTCCATTAAATCCTAGAGACGCATTCTTTGGAGGTAGGACAGGAAACGCGAAAACCTACTACAAATGTGGTCCGGGAGAAACCATACAATACGTCGATGTATGTTCACTATATCCTTTTGTAAATAAATACTGTAAATATCCTATAGGTCATCCATCTATATATGTCGGTAATAAGGAATGTAGAAAGAGAGGTATGGAAGTAGATGGACTGTTAAAATGCAAGATCTTACCTCCTTTCAACTTGTATCATCCAGTTTTACCGACACGTGTTCATGATAAATTGATGTTTGTTCTATGCAGAACATGTGGGGAAATGATGTACCAGGGGGATTGTTTTCATGAGAGTGAAGATAGAGCATTGGTTGGGACATGGACAATGGATGAGATTAGGAAGGCTGTAGAGAAAGGCTACATTATACAGGATATGTATGAGCTGTGGGAGTATGAGGTAGCCACATATGAAAAAGGAGGGCTATTCACTGAGTTTATTGATAAATTTTTAAAACTAAAACAGGAGGCATCTGGATACCCTGGGTGGTGTAAAACAGATGAGGATAAGAAACAGTACATTGCAAAATTTCTTGAGCGTGAAGGTATAGAAATGACAAAGGAGCATATTGTTAAAAATGGGGGCTTAAGATCAGTAGCAAAATTGATGCTAAACAGTTTTTGGGGTAAATTTGGGCAAAGGGAAAATATGATGAAAACATCAATCATCCGAGATTCTAAAGAGTTCTTTCGACTGTTAACCAATCCTGAGGGTAAGTTAAAATACTTTCAGGCTATTAACCAAGATGTTGTGCTAGTAAATTGGCAAAATATTGAAGAGGCTAGTGAGTCTTTAAGAACTGTAAATGTAGTTATGGCAGCCTTCACTACTGCTCACGCTAGACTAAAGTTGTATGAACACCTTGATGCCTTAGGAGATCAAGTACTATATTGGGATACAGATAGTATTATATATTACTACCGCGAAGGGTTGTATAGGGTGCCTACAGGAGATTACCTCGGCGAAATGACCGATGAATTGGTAGAGTATGGACCTGGTTCATACATTACTGAGCTTGTCTCTGGTGGGCCTAAAACATACGCGTACCTTGTCTGGTCGACAAATCAATAGAAATTTATCCCGGTTTGTAAAATCAATGGGCTTACTCTCAATATTAAAACATCAAAAATCTTGAATTTCGAGAAACTAAAAGAAATGGTTTTAGGCGAAGCTTCTAAAATCATTGAAATTGATGAGCACAGAATTAGACGAACAAAATATAGAGATATTGTAACAACAGAGGAGGTTAAACAGTTTAAGGTAACTGGTCCAAAGAGAAAGTACGAAGGAGATCATGACACTCTACCCTATGGGTACAAAAGACAGAAGCATTAACCCTTATATAGGTGGATGTCATGGTATGTTTTTAATCACTTTACCATTAACAGTCAACGAGAACAGACATATCACTTGTGCTCTCCTAACTTGTAATGGCTGTATTTCTCAGATTTCTGTCTAAAAAAGATATAATTGAAAACAAGAGGTTTGGTATTAAAACTTCAGAGTTTCAGTTTTTTCTTACTGATTCAATAGATGTGCTGGACTGGCCTACAACTTTTTCAGAGTACATTATAGAAACAATTACAGAAGACATACTTCCCTCATGTTCTTCTATTGGGTTGTTATTAACATATAAAGACACATCTGGTAATATACCATTTATTCCTATCACAACACTTACACCTACATCATTCTCTAATTACTTTGACAGTATATTTGCCAAAATAGAATCAATGACTGGTGTTTTAAAAATTGAAGTGACAACCATTTCCATACCAAGCAGGTATTGTTGATACATAAAACCCTAATTCGTTTAACCTAAAAATGAGTATAATCCTTCTATTAAGATAAAAAATTCCTCCAACTTTTTCTCCAGACAATAGCTACCAATTAAAATGTTGAAATATATATCAAATTAAAGTAAATTAGGACAATAAATATATAATAATACATAAACAGATTATGGGTCCATTCCCTGTGTGTATGTGTGTATGTACATTGAGGCGTTCAGATTAAAAAGAACCTGT